CAGCAGTGAGTGAGCCTTGCCACATGGCCTAGGTGGCTACGTGCAAGGTTGTCAAGGCACCAGCATAGAGCAGTTCCCCTACATGTATGAGCACTTCATGGTGAAGAGGAATCACAGAGTACTCTATGAAAGTTTCCAGGGGAAGGCAGGTGATAGAGTTTGAAGAGCTGTAGGCAGAGAGACAGGATACCTGGGTTCTAGATCTGGCCCTGCCAATGACTTGCCATGTGAGTTGGGCACGTCCTTCTCCCTCTCTGGGCATCTGTGAAGAGAAGGGGTTTGTCTAGATGGCCCACCAGGGCTTCCCAAGGCTGCAGTGATTGTGGACTCTAGAACAAAGTACCTGACACATCGCAGAGGCCAAACCATGGCTTGGCGAAGGAGATACAAGGAAGTCATCGTGGAGGAGATGGAGACATGGTGTGCACTGGGACTCCCTTTTGTTGGTGGTCAGATGGGGTCAACAGAGACAGACTGGAATGTGTTCCCCCCACTGAAAAAACCCACGGTTCTTTAGGGGCTCTCAGGAAGGGCTCAGAGACATGTCTCAGCCACAGTGGACCACTTTTAATCACAGTGCAGCCAAACTCTATTCCAGGGATCAAGGTCTAAACTCACCATGAAAAGTACCAATCTAGAAAGGTAACATTATCCTTTTTTTTCTTTTTTTTTTTGAGAGGTTTTTGCTATAGGGCGTGTGCGCTCACCAGACAGACAGAGAGAGACAGACAGAAAGCGAGAAATCACCCCCCAGGGGGGATGGCCACGCCGCAATCCCTTCTCCTCCATACTCCCCCCAGGATCCTGGGCATGCACGCACATGCGCCCGGCGTGAGTTTAAGCCACCGGGTCTGGGACACAAACCGCGGTCGACTACGTGGGAGTCCAGTGACATAGCCATTACACTAACTGCTGGTCCCAAGGCAACATTATTCTTGACAGGTCCTCGGAAGGAGCCATGTTGGAGAGCCTGTGCCTTCCACTGAGTCCAGCAGAACTACAATTCAAGCACTGGGTCCTCAGGGAGGCTGTAGCATATGTGAAATGTAAGCCAGAGTCCCCCTCCCTCCATAAAATGTTCTCCCTCTGAAAGGCAAAAAATGTGGTGCAGGGTGTGGGTAGGGGTAAGGGAGGAAGCAGACTTATGCCTCTTGCTTGAGGTCTATCATGGGAAATGACCACTCTTTATTGACCAGTATTATAAAATGAACTGATATTAAATGCACAGATTAATGAGTTTTGTTGTAACCAACATCCCAAAGGAGATAGAGAATATCACAATGAAAGGATGGCAGAATATGCCTCCCCAAAATAGCCCATGGTGCACTTTATGCAACACAGATTATTTTGAGCTAAATATACTTGAAAAACAGCAGGTATAAGAAAAGCATTCTGACCTTCTGGTTTTTTGTTTGTTTGTTTGTTTGTTTGTTTGTTTGTTTTCTCCTGAAAGCAGGAGATAAAGAGCCATGAAAAATGTGTCTTATCTACGGGACCAGCAGTTAGCGTAATGGCTATGTCGCTGGACTCCCACGTAGTTGACCGCGGTTCGTGTCCGGACACGGTGGCTTAAAACTCACGCCGGACGCGTGTGCGTGCGTGCCCAACATCCCGAGAGGAGAATGGAGGAGAAGGGATTGTGGCGTGGTCATCCCCCCTGGGGGGTGATTTCTCGCTTTCTGTCTCTCTGTCTCTCTCTGTCTGGCGAGCGCACGCACCATATAGCAAAAAAACAAACCAACCAAACAAACAAAACAACCTCTCCAAAAAAAAAAATTGTCTTATCTATACTAGCAGCAGAAAAGAAACATTCTGATCATTAGAGACTAGGAGTCAAGGACAAGAGAATTCCATGCAGTTCTTCCTTCATTCTCCCCATCATACAATCATTCCTCAGTATCCTTAGGAAATTGGTTCTAGGACCCCTAGAGGTTACCAAAATTTCCAGAAGTTCAAGTCTCTTATATAAAATATATAAAATGGCATAGTATTTACATAGAATCTACATACACCCTCATATAATATGTACACACACACACACATATATATATACAGAAAATGAGAAATCACCCACCTGTGGGATGGCCATGTCACAATCCCTTCTCCATTCTCCTCTCAGGATTTTGGGCATGCACACACACCCAGCATGAATTTCAAGCCCCTGAGTCCAGGACTCAAACTATGGTCAGCCACGTGGGAGTCCAGCACCTTAACCACCACACTACCTGCTGGCCCCCTCCCCATACAGTTTTAGTTATCTCTAAATAACTTACAGTACCTAACACAATGTGAATGCCATGTAAATAGCTATTAAATTGTGTACTTTAGGGAATAATGACAAAAAAGATCTGGACATGTTCAGTGTGGACATGTTCAGACCAACTGTTGTAGGTCTAACTGTGTAGCAACCTCAGCAGCAACTCTACATTTTCCATGTGCAGTTGGTGAATCCATGTGTGGAACCTGCTGATATGGAGGGCCTACTGTATTTTATTACTTGTCCTTGTTCAGCTTAGTAAACACAAGCACTCAGATTTTACCACAAATTTCAGTCATTTCCTTCTGAAGGTGCCCATATCACCTAAAACATATATGAAATGTGTATGCTTTCCTCCTAATAATCTGTCCATTTGGTTCTTGGGCCCTGCAGAAGACCCCAGGACAGGAAGGGTAAAGTCTTGCTTCCCTATCACCCTAGAAAGTTCCCTGTTGTCCTTTTCTAGTCAACCACCTTCCCAAGGGGCCATCACGGTTTTGTGTCTGTCCCTGCAGGTTAGTTCTGGAATAGACTAGCCAATAGAATTTTCTGCAGTGGTTGAAAGCCCTATACCCACACTGTCTGGAACAGCATCTGCTGACCACATTTAGCCACTAATAATTTGAAATGTGGCCAGTGCAACTAAAGAAATGAAACCTTTATCTAATTTTAATTCATTTGAATTTAGATAGCCACATGTGGCTACTGGCTACCACACTGGACAGTGGTATCTAGCCTATCTGCCTCAGCATAATGGTTTTTTGTTTTGTTTTGTTTTGCTATAGGGTTTATGTGCTCGCCAAATAGGGACAGAGAGATGGAGAGAGTGAGAGAGACAGAAAGTGAGAAATCAACCCCCATCCCAGTGGGGATGGCTATGCGGCAATCCCTTCTATGGTCTCATCTCAGTATTTTTGGCATGTATGCACCTGGTGTGATTTTAAAGCTGCTGGGTCCAGGACTTGAACTGTGCAGTTGACCATGTGAGATCCAGCACCTCAACCTCCACGTCACTTGTTGGCCCCATAATACTTTTTTTTGAGAGGCTTTTGCTATAGGGCATGTGTGCTTGCCAGAAAGACAGAGAGAGGCAGAGAGACAGAAATGACCCCTTAGGGGGGATGGCCACACCACAATCCCTTCTCCTCCATTCTCCTCTCAGGATCTTGGGCACGCACACACACGCACCCGGCGTGAGTTTAAGCCACTGGGTCCAGGACTCGAACCGTGCTGACTACATGGGAGTCCAGCAACATAGCCATTACGCTAACTGCTGGTCCCAGTCCCATAATGCTTTTAAGATTGTTAGCATTTTTGTGTGCCTCATGGTATCTTACTGCTGAGTAAGATTTTTAACAAATATTTTTTAAATTATTTATTTTAAAAGTTTATTTTTTCCACGAGAGAGAGAGAGAGACAGAGACAGATAGATAGTCACCCCAACTGGGTCCTCATACTGCAATCCACTCTCAGTCCCAGCCAGCCAGGATCATGGGCACACATGAGTATACAGGAAGACCTTGAGATATGAACCCAGGACCTTCCCATGTGGGCTCAGTTGCGTTACCATTGTTCCACCACCTGGTCTCTTTAAATTTATTTTTTAATTGTGATAAAATATGTAAAATGAATCACTTTAACTTTTTTAAAAGATTTTTTATGGCTTTAGAGGAAAGGAGATAGAGAATTACCTTCAGCAGTCTCACACCGTGATCCCCTGCTGCCTTTCCCTGCCAGCCAGGATCATGGACATGCACACCTACACCTGCCCAGCATGTGCAGGTTGACCTGGGAGCCAAACTCGATCTTCCATGTGGCTTCAGCATTGCCACATGTTGAGCTACTATGGCACCAATGCAGCTGGATCCCACTTGGACCATTTTAAAGAAAATGGTGGCAGGAATGGTGTAATGGTTACGTCACTGGACTCCCACATAGATGATCACGGTTTGAGTCCTGGGCCTGGCGGCTTAAAATTCACACCTGGCGCATGTGTGTATGTGCCCAAAATCCCAAGAGGAGAATGGAGGAGAATGGATTGCAGCGTGGCCATCCCCTCTACGGGGTGATTTTTCTGACTCTGTTTCTCTCTGTCTCTCCAGCAACCACACATACTCAATAGCAAAAACCTCTCTACAAAAAAGAAGAAGAAGAAGAAGAAGAAGAAGAAGAAGAAGAAGAAGAAGAAGAAGAAGAAGAAGAAAGAAGAAGAAAGAAGAAGAAGAAAGAAGAAGAAGAAGAAGAAGAAGAAGAAGAAGAAGAAGAAGAAGAAGAAGAAGAAGAAGGAGGGAGCATGAAGTACAGCTATCTCTACATCTTTTCATCTTCCCCCCACTGAAACTTTGTACTCATTAAATAATGGCTCCCCATTCTTTGCCTCCAGTTCCTGGCAGCCATTATTTTACTTTCTGTTGCTGAGTAAGTTTTTACCGCTAGGTAGTACTCCTTTCTACCTCGATCTTGCTTTGCTTTGTGGGCGATTGAATCCTTGAAGGTTAGATGTATACATGACACAGTTCATCTACGTGCCTTGGCTTCTGCGTATTCTCCTTGATCAGATTGTGGCTCCTCAGGCAGAGTTATGTCTTCCCTTTCTCTGAATCTCACACTCTCGGTGCCCTGCCATGTAGTTGGGAGGCAAGATGTTCTCGTTCCAAGTTCTTGGCATTTGATGAGGAACTTGAGCAGGGCTGTGTTTTAGTCCATTGTGTTTTTATTAACATAAATACTAGAGTCTGCGTAATTCATTAAGAATAGAAATTTATTTAGCTCAAGCTTTTCGGAAATCTCAGGTTAGGGGACCATACTCAGTGAGGGTCTTCCTATTGATAGAATCCCAAGGTGGTACAGGGCATCATATGGCAAGGCCAAGAACATTTTCTCTTCTTATAAACCAACTAGGATTCAGTCCTAGGTGCCCTAACCTTATGGCCTTAGTCCTATTTACCTCTCAGAGGCCCCACCTTTCAACACTATAGTTGGATTAAGGTTTTGGCTTCTTAATCCCATAGAAACCAAATTTAAACACATGAATTTTTTGTGTGATGGTAGTGTGGGGTGGGAGGGGACACATTCAAATCAAAGCAGGCATCAAGATTTGCTGAATTCCTACTAGGTATCTGAATCCCAGGCATGCTGTCTGCATTATGTCAGCAGATCCTCCAGCAGCCTGGGATCTTCTTAATCCCAGCTTAGTACAGAACTGAGCCAAACACAGGCTTCTCACTCTCAAAGTTTCTTCTTACATATTCTCTAAGGCTGTTTCTTCCTAATGGCCAGGAACTAAAATGAGCCATGCCCAGAAAAGTGTGACAGGGAGGTGGAAGAAGGGATATTGTCCATGTTAGAGGATTCAGTAACTCAATGGACAAGATTATGATTGAGGTGATTAAACAACTATAAGAAATAGGCCTATTAAGTAAGTACTGGAGCATAACAGAAAGTTTATTTTCTTCTCATGGAGCATTCCAGAGCTAATACTCCATCAAGGGTGGGTTGGGACTCTGCTCCACATAGTCATTCAGGGACTCAGGCTGCCTTTGAGTCTGCCATCTTTAGCACACAGTTGCCAAAGTCACTCTATTGTTACTTTGGCTCAAGGAGGAAAGCATGGAGGAGTAAGCATAGAGGGCTTTCTTAGCCAGGCCTGGAAGTGGCACCAATCACTTCCACTGGAGACATTGTAGGAACATGGCCATACCCAACTTCAAGGGAAGCTGGAAAGTGTGTCCAGCAAAGAGAAGGGAATTGTTCTGATGATCAGTTAGTGGCTTCTGTCACACTAGGTGTGTTTGAGAGCCCCTTCAACATTAACACTTTCCTAGGGAACTTCAAAATTCTACAAAAGATTTTCACCTTTAAACCTTGCTTCCTGAGTCAGAAGCAGTGACACACACTCCCACACAAAGGGTAAGAACACTGTAATCATCAGCGATGACTGTTCTTAGCTAACTCTTTGGTTCTGACTCAACATTTACTAAGAAACCTCATAAATTGGTGCTCCATCTAGATTCATTTACTTAGAGAGAATGCTTAACCAGTGAATAGGAGTGTTTGGTTTGCTAGATCGTTCTATGCTAGACGCTGCCATCTGCCCAAATCTCTCCCTTCTTCTTCCTTACTAACAACTAGATTTTATGCTGAACAGTGAAGCACTTATAAAACACCCACCTACCACTCCCTCCCACACACTCACCCACCCTGTGCAGGCTCCTTTGAAGCTATGGGGTTGCTATGTAAGCAGCTATGACTAATGAGATGTAAGCAGAAGTGTCCTGCTTGGGGCTTCTGGAAAAGCCATTCTTTCCTACTAAAAGAAAATGACTTAGCTGACATCCTACTCCATCTTTTGCCTTTCTGTCTATATAGGGTTTGGTCCCCTTGAAGTGCAGCAGCCACCTTGTACCCAGTAGAATAAATGTCACATGCCAGGCAGTTGGATGGAACCTGAGTCCTTAATGATGTCGATTTTACTGTCCTGAACCTGGAGCACCTACTTCCAGACTTGCTATGTGAGAAAAACAAACTCTTTATTGGTTATTCCATGTGCTCAGATTTCTGTTACTTACAGCTGAGTGGAATTCTAGCTGATATAGGTTACTTATCAAAAATTAAACATTGGTATCTACTCTACATACTGGTCTCTGTTAACTTTATTTAGAGTCTGTCTCCACAAGTGATCCTCTTTGAACCCAACAATTGGGCTCCAAACTAATGGAGTTGATACGTCATGCATCTTCAAAGGTGGATTCCTCACCCAGATACTGCTACCCTATGTCAAGCAACACCACTGACTAAATGCTCATGGAGAGGTTGGGCTGGGAGGCTCCTGGCAAAGGTGCCCTGTTATCCCTTACAAGACCTCAAGATCCAAGGTTTAGATTTCCCATCACCGTCATCCCAGGGGAGACCTTCCAAGAGAATTTCTTCCTTCAAGTCCCCTCTCCTTGGGATCCTCAGAGAACAAAGCAGTCCATGTGCTCATTACCAAGTGAAGGGAGATTATACCCCATGTTCTTGGTTCCTTCAGTTCTTTCTCCATCATTGAGGCTTTGATGATCGGAAGTTTGGCTTCATTGGTCAAGCAAACACCCAGTATCATGGCTGCTGGCAGAGCAAGTCTCTGGAAAAAAAAAAGGGGGGGGGTGGTAGTTCATCCCAAGGGCTGAAGCCAAGTCTCTCATGGAAAGGAACATACTGCTGGTATAGATTTAGAGAGCCTTTCCTTTCTGAACTGAGAGCCTCTCTTACACCAAATATGGCCCTGCCTCAGGGCCTATGCATTTGCTGTTCCCTCTACCTAGAGGGCACAGATCTTGGGAACTGATGAGTCTAGGTTGGGGGCTGAGCTCCTGGATTCCTGGCTATTCATTCCCTCAGATCTTGGCATGGCCTGCTTTTCATCATTCAATCCTCATTTCCAAAGTCACATCCTCAAAGAGTCCATTCCTGAACATCCTATCAAAAATTTTGTTCCCTCTTCCCCACCTACTCACTATTACCCTATTTCATGTTTTTAAAGTATTTCTCACTTTCTAATTTGTTTCATATATAAGTTTAATTTTAGTTTCCATGACCAGAATGAACCCTGCAAGATCCTGCCCTTTGTTTTGTTCTGCTATATCCCAAGGACAGTGCCAGGCACAGAGTAGGTTTAGGAAGTATGGCTGTGTTGAAAGGAATTGGATTTTGCCCTTAAAGCTGGCTGCAGAGGGATGCTCCTCAGATGTCCCCCTACTTGTCCTGGCCCACCCAAATGTGCTCCTCTGGCTTCCTGCCCAAAGAGAATGGATCGGTCCTGCATAGTGTGTTTTGCTCCTGGGACCCAGGGCCTTGTAAATAGATGCCACTCCTCTTCAAGGTATGCAATAATTAGAAATGGTTAGGAAAAGATGTCCCCAGAAGCACTGGAGCATGAAGGCTGCACTGACTGAAGCTGGTTTCTATGGTCTGAATGTGTTCCCCAAAAGTTTCTGTGCTGGAATTTGGTGGTATTGTGAAGTATTAAGGAGAAACTTAACCCAACTATGGGGTTAAAAGGTGGAACTTTTGGGAAATGATTAGGGTGGGGCCCATGATTGGCCCCTGGCAGGTTTATAAGGAGAAGAAACAAGAGAGACATGTTCAAGCTCTTGCCATTTGATACCCTCGATACCCTCCGCTGTGTTATCCATTAGCAGGAAGACCCTCACTAGATGCAACCCCTCGACCTTAGACCTCCAAAATCATGAACATAATAAACCTCTATTCCTTCTAAATCACCCAGACTCAGGTGTTTCTGTGTTTAACAACACAGCAGACAAAGATGCTGGTCTAGCCTTCTGACAACTTCGCAGCCCTTCCACCATCACACGTGTCTGTCTGGAAAAGTCAAGTGAGAGCAGTCAGTCCCACTTATTTTATATTAAGGGACTTTGAGGAAGAGAGAGAAAAGGGGCCTCGCCCAGTCACACAGAAAATCAGTGACTAGCGTCTGTTTTCCTGGCTCTGAGTCCCGGAGCCTCAGTTGGAGGGCGGGCAGGAAAATGGAGTCTGGGGATATTCTTATTGGCCCAGGCAACACCCACACCACAGGCAATGTCCAGGCCTCCAGACTCACGTGGCTTCTTCCATCCTGACCTTGATCTCCTTCCTTCGCTCCTCGTTGATGGGGTAGAAGCAGAAGATAGTCAGACCGATGAGGATCAGCCCAATGGGCACTGGTGCCAGAAGCATCTTCAGCGTGAGGAGTACAGCGGGGTTTGGCCTGCACTCTGCTGGGTGGTACTTGGCAAAGCTGAGGGGCACAAGCAGTTGCGATCTGAGCCCTGAGCTGGGGGTCTGCAGTCTCCACTGACCTCCCTGCCCTGCCCTGCCCTGCCCTGGGCCTTCTGGGGTCTGTGGGACTGTGGGAATGCTTTGGGCAGCCAGGTTTGAGGTTCCTATTCATATCGCCTTGGCTCCCCTTTTACACTACTCACTACTCTGTGTCTTCCATCTTAAGAATGACCAGGAATCCAGGAGCTTAGCCCCCAAACTTGGGGTCTGTCCTTTTCCCCAAAGGCCCCCACCAAGACTACCTCCCCCTGCACCTCCAGGCATTCCTTCACCTCATCCTGGCATGATGCACCCACCTTTGTTGTCTTCCTCTTGGACCTCACCTGGGCTTTTCTCACCAGCTTCCTTGCCCTACGCAAAGCTTGTGTTTTGGGACTGTGGGAATGCTTTGGGCAGCCAGGTTTGAGGTTCCTATTCATATCGCCTTGGCTCCCCTTTTACACTACTCACTACTCTGTGTCTTCCATCTTAAGAATGACCAGGAATCCAGGAGCTTAGCCCCCAAACTAGACTTCCCAGTTTCCATGTGCAGCTCACGGCTAAGTTTCTGTAGGTTCAACCCACAAAACAAAGATCTATCTTTCCTCTCAGTGCCAGCCACATCATTTCCCGGGCAGACGCCCAGGCCTTCCATGCTCCCTTCTCCAGCATTATAGGGAGATCTTAGAAATGTAAACCACACTGTGCCTTTTCCAATGGCTGCCTGCTGACCTTGGAATAAAGTCACAACCCTTATGTGCCTGCAAGGCTGTGTGTGATCTGGCCTCTGCCTTTCACCACCTCATCTCCCACTTCCTCCCTTCCTCCTCCCAACTTCAACTTGCCCCTGACCTCCTGTGGCTACTGGAACATTCCCGTCCTGTTTTGGCTTTGAGGTCTTTGCCTTTGCTGCCCCATCTCCCTGGAGCATTAGCCCATGCACCTTGCACAGCTGGGTCCCTCTCATCATTTGGTCTTAGTTCAAATGTCCCTTTCCCAGCAGGCCTTCTCTGACCACCTAGGCTAAAGCCTCTCTCATACTAAGTACCCTCTGATCACTTTGAATTATCTTACTCTCCCTAGTTCCTTCTTTGCTCTTATGACTTACGCATATTTCAATTCTCGGATTTCGAGAATTTCCTCCCCAGCTGGAATCTAAGCTCTGTGAGAGTAAAGACCTAGCTTGTCTTGCTCATGGCTCTCCTTGGCCTTTCACTGTGTTCAGCACGCAACAGGTTCCCAGTCATTTCTTACTGGTCGAACAAGGGAGTATCCTACTTGGAAACTACCCACCTACCTTCTAGACATGGTCACCTACAGAGACATGCAGAATGGGCTGGGCTAGGGGATAACCTTTCCCTGGTCTTTCTAAGCCTCCCTCCATTGCTTGGCCTTTGTCTGCAAAGGCAAATCCACCCTGCATTCTGATTTCACTGTGACTGTGTTGGAGAGGGATGAGGTGAAGGGTAATGAGATGCGGGCATCCCATGTGCCTGATACCCACGTAAAGGAGATATGACATCTCTCACCAAAATCCACCAGAAGGCTTTCCAAATTCTTAAAAGAGCTATCCCATTCTTATTCAAATGGACATTTACTTCTGTCTCAGTAAAGCCCTTCCCTTCTTCTTTTCTATAGGAGCACGTCTGGTATGGGAGCACCCCCCTCTGCTACCCCAGGGGAGAGTCCCAAATGCCACCCCTCCACCAAACCAGGCAGAAACAGGAAGTAGATGCCAACTGTAAGCTCATGGTGGAGATTCCAAGGGACAAGCCACCCCCAAATTTGTTGAAGAAGATGTAGAAGGAGTAGAAGAAGGCTTCCAGGTTGAGGCAGTCCGGGTTCTTGAGCTGGAAGTCATCCACAGTATCAGGCAGCATGGACCTGCAGAGACAGGGAAAGATGCAGCCCACCCTGCCTATGGGGACTAGGATGGGGCAGGGCCAAGCCATGTGGCCTACCTCCAGCTGGCAGCCCAGAAGGTGAGGAAGAAGACAGGAAGAAGAAAGGCCATGCTAGAGGAGAGGCACGTGGAGAGAGGAGAACACTGAGCCCTAGCAATACCTCTGCCTGACTTCCTGGGCAGCAGCTGGCATGCACCTCAATCTCTTAGGCCTCAGTTTTCTCCTCTACAAAAATGAGATGCTAGATTTCCACTCGCAGTCTGTGGAAGGACAAAGTGCTTCTGTTCATGTGAAAACACGAAGGAAAGGGGGGAGCCTCGAGCAGATACAATATGATGACATTGCTATGTGGCCCAGGCCACAGCGTAGGTCCTGCTTTGTAGATGTGGCAGTTGAGGCCCAGAGAGGGAAAGGGACTTCTCCAAGTAAACTACTGGCTTTCCACTAAAACCATGAGGCTGGATGTGTGCCACTGTCCTCTCCCCTTCCATCTAGGTTACATGCCCAGCTGGGTAACATTCCACAGCCATGTCAGGTGTGGTCATGTAATGAAGTTTTGGCCATGAAACTGGAGCATATGTGATATAAGCAACTCCAATACCAAGAAAGTGAGACTACAGCACATAGAATGAAGAGAAAATATTTATAAACTATATATTTGATAAGGGTCTAGCATTGAGAATATATAATGAATTCTTATAACTCAATATTAAAATTCAAATGACCCAATTAAAAAATAGGCAAAGGATTTGAACAGATAGTTCTCCAAAGAAAATATGCAAATGGTCAACAAACATATAAAAATATGGTCAATATCACTAGTTACTAGAAAAATGGATATAAAAGGGACCAGCAGACAGTGTAATGGTTAGGTTGCTGGACTCCCACATAGTTGATCGCGGTTTGAGTCCTGGACCCAGTGGCTTAAAACTCATGCTGGGTGCATGTGCATGTGTGCCCAAGATCCCGAAAGGAGAATGGAGGATAAGGGACTGTGGTGTGGCCATCCATCTGAGGAATGATCTCTTGCTTTCTGTGTCTCTGGCAAGTGCACATGCCTTATAGTAAAACTCTCTCTCAGAAAAAAAAAAAGACAGAAAGAAAGAAAGAAAAATTGATATGAAAACCACAACAAAATATGACTTCACACCTATTAGGATGGTTATGATAAAAAAACAAAATAAAAGACAGACAATAACAAGTGTTGGTGAAGAGAAGTGTCAAGAAACTGGAACCCTCATTCATTGATTGTGGGATTGTAAATTGGTATAGACACTGAGGAAAATGGTTTGGAAGTTCCTCAGAAAATAAAATATAAAAGATACCATACACAATAATGTGCATGTACTTAATGCCAAAGAACTGTACACTTAAGAATGGTTAGGATGGTAAATTTTAGGTAATGAATATCTAACCATAAAAAAGTTACTATACGGCCTGGTAAATCTCTTTTTAAAAAAAATTTGCTAAAGGGCACATTCACTAGACAGAGAGAGAGAGAGAGAGAGAGAGAGAGAGAGGTGAGAGAGCACTCCTCATAAGGGATCATCATGCCACAATTCCTTCTCCTCAAGGAGAAATGGAGGAGAAGGAATTCTGGGCACACACGCACACAATCCCAGTATGTTTCCAAGCCATCAAGTTCAAGACTCGAACTTCACAGTGGCCATGTGGGATCCAGCCACCTTAACCACTATACCACTGGCTCACCTATGGCCCAGTAATTCTAATCCTAGGTATATATCCAAAAGAAATCAAAATGAATGTCCACAGAAAAACTTGTACATGAAAGTTCATAGCTCCAATTCTTCATAATAATCAAAAAGTGGAAATGACCAATATTCATTTGTATGAAGTGTCCAGAAGCAGCAAACATGTAGAGACTGAGTAAATTAGTGGTTGCTAGGGAATGGAGGGAGGGAGAAATGAGGGTTGACTGCTAATGGATACAGGGTTTCTTTTGGGAGGTGATGAAAATGTTCTATAATTAGATCATGATGATGGGTGGGCAGCTCTGGAAATACACTAAAAATGACTAAATTGAATACTTTAAAAGAGTGAATTTTATGCTTGTTTGAGTTATATCTCAACAAAGCTGTTATTGAAAAGAAAGCTGTATGGATATAACTGGAAAGAAATTCAATTCTTGCTGGCATGTTGTCATGTCAACAAATGATACTTGGAACTGAGGCGGCCATCTTTTAACCCAGATGTAGCAAACCTCAGGACCAAGTCAATCCTCCCCGGATGGTAGAGCAGGAAGGCAAAACACACTTGGGTCTCCATGACATCATCATGTTCCTATCTGACCAACCTGGGACCATCGTGAGATAACTCATACCTTTATTATTTAAGTCATTTTTAGTTTGGCCTCTTGTTACTTGCAGCTGAAAGCATCTTTGATGGTTAATTTTATGTGCCAACTAGGCTAGGCTCTGATGCCCAATTATTGGTCGAATGCTAATCTAGATATTGTGAAGGTGTTTTGTAGATCTGATTAGCATTTACAATCAGTTGACTTTAAGTAAAGCAGATTGCCCTCCATCATGTTGCTGGGCCTGTCCAATCAGTTGAAGGTTTTAAGAGCAAAGATAGGGTTTCTCAAAGGAGTTCCACCTCAAGCCTGTAACATAGAAATCCTGCTGAGTTTCCAGGATGATGCTTGCCCCACACATTGCAGATTCAACACTGCAACTTCAGCTCTTACCTGAATTCCCAGGCTGCTCTATGGATTTTGAACCTATCAGCCTCCTGCAATTGCTTGAGTTGTTTTCTTAAAATAAACCTCTCTTGGGACCAGCAGGCTGGGCATGGTAGTTAAGGTGCTAGACTCCCATAGGGTCGACCATGGTTTGAGTCCCGGACCTGGTAGCTTGCTTTCTCACTTTCTCACTTTCTCGCTTTAGCAAATCAAATAATAATAATAACAAATAAAATTTTAAAATAATTTTTTTTCTTAGAAGTTTTGTCTTAGGGTGTGTGTGCTTGTTGGAGAGAGAGAGATAGAGACAGAGACAGTGAGAAGAAAAGTGAGAAATCATCCCCCGGGGTGTGTGTGGGGGGAATGGCCATGCTGCAATCCTTTCTCTTCTATTTCTCCTCTTAGAATCTTGGATACACACACACACACACACACATGTGCCTGGCATGAGTTTTAAGTCACCAGGTCTGAGATCTAAACCACAGTCAGCCATTTGGGAGTCCAGCGACTTAACTGCTATGCCACTTGCTGCTCTCTTCCAAAATAATTATTTTAAAAAAATCTTTCTTTACATATATCTGTGCACACACACACAGTCATTCACTGCTTAACAACTTTTCACTCAGTGATAGACTGCATGCATGACAGAAAGAGCTTTAGGCTCTACCATATAGTCTAAGTGTGTGATAGGCTATACCATCTAGGTTTGTGTACGTACACTCCGTGATGTTTGCACAACAATGAAGTCACCCAACAACACGTTTGTCAGGAAGCATTCCCATTGTTAAGTGATGTGTGACTCTCTCTATATATACACATATATGTATTATATATATTATATTTTCCTGTTTCTCATAAGAGCCCTGATACACATTTTGGTATACTGCCCCTACTCAAAACCCTTCTCGGGCCTTCCATGGCTCATTTGAGGTCCTCTACTTGGCCCCCATTCAGTCCTGCAGGCCAAGTCTCGCTATCCTCACCTTGCGTTTGTGCTCGATGTGCCTCAGCTAGGCAACGCATTACGATTGCCACGCCATCTCTCAAGCCTTCACATATGCCCCTCCCACAGAAATGTTATGCCAGATAGATGCAGTCTGTAAATATGCTCTCCCCATCTGTGACTTGTTCTTTCCCCATGAAAATGAAAAAGTTTCTTAGATGAGCCATAAGTGTTCAATTTTTATGAAGTCCAATTTATAAATTTTTGTCTTTTATTGTCTGCACTTTTTTTGACTTAAAAAAACTGCCTAGTTCAAGGCTCAAGGTCACAAGTATTTTGCTCTAATTTTTAAAAATAATTTTAGCTTTTAAATTTACATCTGTGATCCATTTCGTATTAATTTTTATGCAAGCAATCCTTCCTTATCCCTGGGAACACATTCTAAGGCTCCCAGTGGATGCTTGAACCACAGATAGAACCCAACCCTACATACAATGCTTTAAAAAAAAATCTGACCACTGAGATGGCAATTAAGTGACTAAGGGGCAGTGACATGTATGTTGTGGATGCACTGTATACAAAGGACAATTTATGTTCCAGGCAGTATGGGGAAGAGCTGCATGAGATTTCATCACACTACTCAAAATGGCATGCACATTGGAAACCTGTGAATTGTTTATTTCTAGAATTTTCTTTTTTAAAAATAATTATTTTATTTCATTAATTATTATTATTGTTGTTATTTTCAGTTTGACTAGCGAGAGACAGGGAGAGAGAAAGAGGAAAAGAAAGCAAACTGCCAGGTCTGGGACTCAAACTGTGGTTGGCCATGTGGGAGTCCAACAGTTTAATCACCATGCCACCTGCCAGCCCCTATTTCTAGAATTTTCTATTTAGTGTTTTCAGACTACAGTCGATTGCCAATAACTGAGCTCACAGAAACTAAAGCCACAGATAGGGAAGGACTACTGTATACAGTGCAAGGTGTAGAAATCTGTTCCATTTTTTCCATTTGTTGAAAAGACTATCCTTTCCCATTGCATGTCCTTTACACCTTTAGAGAAAAACAATTGTCCATATATTTGTGGCCTAATGTGGACTCTCTCTGCTGTTTCACTTATCGCCATGTCTGTCCGTATGCCAACGCTGCACTCTCTGGATGTTACAACATTATCCCAAGTCCTGAAAACTGCTAATGTAATTTATTTAACTTTTTCCTTTTTTCAAAATTATGTTCTTCTATGCAGTGCTTTATAACAAATCTTTCTTCCCAAAACAGCTATTTCCTCTAATGAATAATTCATATGCTCTAAAACCTTGCTGTACTGTCTGTTCTAATGGATTACTGCATCTAGCTGGGTCCACTGGTGCCCCAAGGCTGGCTCAGATGCCACCCTTCCACAAAGTGTTGTGTCCATTCTGGCCACAGAGCTCTCTTCCTCGGTGGGTCCTGGAGTCCCTTGGACTTCGTGCCCTCACGGCCCTCACAGCCTTGCATTGTGACTGTTCCAGGTACTTGTCTGCTTCCCGTCCCAGGTCATGAAGTTCCAGAAGGCACTTTCTGTGATCCCAGCATCCCTCTTCACAAAGGTCTGGCAAAAATGAGGGACTCTGAGTGTTTGGAGAAGGAAGGAAGGAAGGAAGGAGCCAGCAGGTAGTGTGGCAGTTAAGGCACTGAATTCCATATGGCTGACTGTGTGGTATGAGTCCCAGGCCCAGTGGCTTAAAAAACACTGGATGTGTGTGTGCATGAGTCCAAAATCTCGAGGAGAATGGAGGAGAAGGACTTGCGACATGGTCATCCTCCAACAAAGGATGATTTCTAACTTTCCCTGTCTTTTCTTTCTCTCCCTCCCCAGTGACTGTGCATGCCCTAGAGCTAAATAAATAAATAAATAAATAAATAAATAAATGGAAAGAAAGGAAGGGAGGAAGGAGAAAGGAAAAAAGATGGAAAAGAATTGTGAAGACACCAAAGAAGAAAGAAAAAGTAGAAGGAAGAAAGAAAGACATTCAAAAAAAGTGAGGGCTGGCCGCATAGCACAGCGGTTAAAGGAGCCGGATCCCACATGTCCCTTACTGCAGTCTGAGTCCTGGCCCAGCACCTCGAAAACCACGCTGAGGGCATGTGGTGCCCAAAATCCTTTCAGGAGAGAGAAATGGGAAAAAAAGGACTGTGGTGTGACCATACTCCATTAGGGGGCACTTTATCTCTCTCTCACATGCATTCTCTGGTAATTAAAAAACAACAGGGGCAGGCAAGTGGAGTGATAGTTAAGGGCACTGGACTCCCAGATGGCTGACCATGGTTCGAGTCCTGGACCTGGCAGCTTGCTTTCTCACTTTCTCTCTCTCTCACTCTGAACCTTTCTGGTCAAATAAATAAATGAATAAATAAATAAAGTAATTCTTTTTTTTTTTTGGAGAGATTTTCACTGTAGGGCGCGTGCACTCGCCAGACAGACAGAGAGAGACATAGAGACAGAAAGCGAGAAATCACCCCCCAGGGGGGATGGTCACGCTACAATCCCTTCTCCTCCATTCTCCTCTCAGGATCTTGGGCACGCATGCACACGCGCCCGGCGTGAGTTTTAAGCCAGCGGGTCCAGGACATGAACCGCGGTCGACTACGTGGGAGTCCAGCAACATAGCCATTACACTAACTGCTGGTTCCCAATAAAGTAATTCTTTAAAAACAACAATGACAATACCCCCCTAAATAAGACAGAGGAGAGAAAAGAAGGTTAGAGTAGAGGAAAGCAGGTGAAAGCGGGCAGGCTGAAGGCAGTCCTCCTCCCCAATCCTGAAGTGCTCCCATCTTCCTCCCTCACACAGAGCCTCTTCTGTCTCCTCGCCCTGCGGAGCACAGAGGGTGAGACCTCACCTACCAAGGCAGCAGGAAGACCACTGACGCGCTGCAGCCCACCGGGATCATAGTCAGGGCAAAGACCAGGAAGTTGCTTTTCACTTGGACGAGGATGATGAGGGTTGGAATCATGATCTGGACAAGGAGGAATCGGGGGAGGAGGGGAGAGTGATGCACTGGGAACACCGAGAAGAAGCTCAGGGTTGGGCTGACCAGGTGGGGCGTGGGGAAGAGTCCTCCATCTCCTCTCTTGCTCAGACAAACATTGAGGCATCTCTGAGCCTTAACTTTCTCCATCTGTGAAATGGGGCTAAGCGTATCTGATTGGTACCTGTCCAGATCAGCCATCACAGAGGGGTCACAGATGGCCGATGGACATTCTGAAACACATCTGGCATTTGCCAGGAATCACAGAAATGCTCTCCAAGAGCACACTGAGATACCTCCGCTACCCACCAACTGCTTGGTAGGAAAGCAGCATTCACACAGCGGTTGCTGGGTTATCGAAGGCAGGGACCCTGCCGACACCACATATCAGAAGCCTTAGCGTGTGTGAGGACTTCTGCAGAAGGGAGCCCAGGGAGTTGTTGAGGTGTCTGTGCAAGTGTTCATTGCGGTGCTATTAGAAGCACTTGGCAACAACCAGTAGGGGAATGCGTAGAGAAACTGAACTGAAAAATCTCAGAAAACAAACATGGAATGGCATGGGAAAGTGCCTCTCATATCTTAACTGAGAAAAATAGCACATCCTAGACTCTGTCTAGCTATCCTCTGTCTGACTCATTACCGTTTTCCTGATAGAAACTCTGCAAAGTAAAGCTTGACAAAGTTTTCCTGATGGAGAGCAAGTGCAAAAAAAGACCCCGGTGCTCCAGCGGGCTCCAGAGAGAGGAGAATTGTGCTGTGGATCAAGGTGGGCAAAGGATTAAGAAAGAAGGGGAGGGGCCAGCAGATGGTGTCATGGTTACGTCGCTGGACTCCCATGTAGTTGACCACAGTTTGAGTCCTGGAGTCCTGGACTCGGTGGCTTAAAGTTTATGCCAGCCGCGTGTGAGTCGGTCCCAAAATCCCGAGAGGAGAATGAAGGAGAAGGGATTGGGGTGTGCCCATCGCCCTGGGATTGATTTCCCACTTGTTTTCTCTTTCTCTGTCTCTCCAGCGAGCACACGTGCCCTCTAGAGAAACTCCCTCTAAAACAGAAAAAAAAAGAAGGAAAAGAAAAACGTGAAGGGGCCAGCAGGTGGTATGGTGGTTATGGCATTGGACTCCCACATGGCTGACCATGGATCAAGACCTGGACCTCGTGGCTTGCTTTCTCACTTTCTCTCTCTCTCTGGTGAACACACATGCCCTATAGCAAATTAAATAATAATATTAGTAATTTAAAAATTAAATAATTTAAAAATAAAAGAAAGAAGGGGAAACACTGATATATCGATACCCTTACAGGGCTGGTCCCACAGAGCAGTGGTTAAGGAAGCTGGATCTCACTGGGGCCCAAATCCTGGCCCTAGAGACTTAAAAAACATGCCAGCTGTGTGTTGATGCAAGCCGCAAATCCTAATGGGAAGGAGACAGGGGATAAAAAGGATTGAAGTGTGTGACTCTGGCCCACTGGGGAGGGGTTGCTTTCTCTCTCTCTCTCTGGCAAGCACATGCATCCTCTGGCAAAAACAAAAACACCCTAACAGAGGACACCCACAGAGGCAAGACAAAGAAAGCCTTAAAATTGTTTTACTATCTGTTCAAAATTGTGTCTTATTTTATGATCACCTTTATACTCAGGGGAAAAGCAACCTCAAAATATAAGAGTTGTTATTTTAAACAATGGATGCTTATTTCCCTGGCTGCCTGCAGGTGGCTTGGCAAATAAAAGACACCTTGAGATATTGTTTTCACACGTTGGATTGGCAAAAATTCAAAAGCTTGATAAGGCTGCCTCCCCACCCCTCGTCACTAAAGAGGCGGTGGAGAAAAAGGCAAGTTCACAAATCACTGGCAGATAATTCGGTGCACGGGGAGGGTACTGAGTGCTTAAAGGAGCTAGTCCATGGAGAGTACGGCGGACAGTGCCTGGTCCAGAGGGAGGATCGCATAAAGTCGCCAGCATTATTACCACCATTATTGTATGAGGGTCTTCAGAAAGTATATGGGGAATGTGTAGTATGAAAAAAATGTGTGTGGATTTCATTATTTTTTGCATCACATAAATTCTTTCTTTCTTTCCTTTTTTTTTTTTTTTTTTTGCTAGAGGGCATGTGCGATCACCAGAGAAACAGGGAGCAAGGAAGAAAAAAAGGACCCCACGTGGAATGTGGTTGTGCCTCAATTCCTTTTCCTCCATTTCTCTCTGCTTTTGAGTTGTGGGCACGTGTGCCCCATGTGTTTCTCAAGCTGCCAGGTCCAAGACTCTAACAGCATGATGGGCCGTGTGGGGATCTGGCTGCCTTAACCGCCAGGTCATGGAGCTGGCCCAAACACGTACTTTCATTCCATTGGCCATGGACTTCCTGAAGTCCTCTGTACTACCATTCAGCAGATGGAGACGCCGATGCTCAGTGAAGCTGTTCTGTCACTGGGCAGTGGAGTCAGTACTTGATCCCAATTTCTTCCACTCCGGATCTCGGCTCCTTCCAGTTAAGGGGTTGAGGTTTATTGGCCTTCCATGTGGCCACAGGCACGTTGAAGAGGGACAGACACGAAGGAGCCCTGCAGTCCCCCTGGTCCTTCATCCGTGGAGGAGGCACGGAGGAAGCTGGCCTACCTGAGAGCCAGTGGGGACACTCACCGAGAAGCCCAACAACACTGCAGTTTTCTTCCCGAACTTGACCAGGAACCACTGCCAGAGGGGGATGGAGAGGGAGGCCACAATCTAAAAGGAAAAAGGGACAAAGGACAGACTCTGGGCCCAGGTGTCCTGGGGGAGGCAGCTCTGTCAGGGTCTGGGTGGAAATCTCTCCTCTTCTACCAATAGCCTGGGTGGCCACAGACTCTCACCTCTTCAGCTCAGTAGTGGTTGGGAAAACATACCTCCCTCCTTGTGGTGAGATTTAGATCCCAGTACCTGAATAGCTGGATAGTTCCCAGTACCCACTAAGCCCCTTTGACCCATTCTCCTCATGGCAACCATAGGGACCCTCTGGAAACACAGGCTGGAACATGTCATTCTTCTGCTCAGCCCCTCAGAGGCTGCCATTTCACTACCAGTAAAGGCCAAAGTCCTCATCGTGGCCCACAGGGTCTGTTATGTGCCTCTGCCTACTCCCTGCACCAGGTGTTCTGGCTTTAGGGCTTTTGCACCTGCTACCCTCACTGCCTGAAAGACTTGTCCCCCAGGTATGCATGCAACTCATCCAAAACACATTAACTGACAGCCCTCTGCATGCCTGGTGCTGTTCCAGGCTCTGGGCAGGGCAGGAGATGGAGTGGAAAGGGTTCCTGCTTTCATGGAGCGCCTGGAGACCACGTACATATGTAATACGTCTAGAGACTTAAAGTCTAGGAGGAAAAATAAGGCAGGGAAAGGAAAGTAAGGGGCGAAGGGTATCGTTTTAGCTGGGAGGTCAGGGAAAGTCTCTCCAAGGAGACGGCAGTGAGCAGGGACCTGAATGGAGTCCAGGGAGGCCGCCACACGACATCTCATGAAAAGCCATTCATGGCAGAGGGAACAGTAGGTGCAAATGCACTGAGGCAGGGGGCTTCTGGGCTACTCTGAGGGGCAGAGTTCTTGTGACTAGAAAATGGAAGCAGGGTGCTGGGGGCATAGTGAAGGTGCTGTAGTGAGACTTTTGGTTTAATACCAATGTGATGAGAACCACTAGAGGATGTCGAGCGGGATAGCCACGATTTGATGTGTTTTTAAAAACTTTCATAGCCATTGGTGATATTTAAACAGAATTTCCAGTTTATAAAGGCTGTGAAAAATGTGGATTTTCTGAACGATGAGGCTCACTACTACCATTTTGCAGGGGAGGAAGCTAAAGCCTAAAGAAGGACAGTATTTTCCTGGTAGGATTGGCTTGGCCAGGATTGGACCTGGGCCTCCAGACTCCTGGAGCAGGGCCTAGATCAGCCCCCAGCTCCCACCCCAAGGCATGGGGATGCTAATCACCAGCCACATGCAGGAGTCTGTGTGTTTGAGATCCCTGAAACCATACTTGCAGAAGTCATGGTAACCTGGAGCCTAATTTTTTTTTTTTAATTTGCTATAGGATGTATGTGTTTGCTAGAGAGAGAGCAAAAGTGAGAAGTCACCCTCAGAGGGGATGGCCATGCCACAATCCATTCTCCTTCATTCTTCTCTTGGGGTTTTGGGCGTGCACACACATGTGCCTGGCATGTTTCTTGAGTCATTGAGGTTGGGACTTGAAATGCACAGCTAGCCATGTGGGGTCTACCCTCCTTAACCATCACACCACCTGCTGGGCCAAGTCAGAAGTTTTCTAACAGAGACACTAGTGAGTTGAAAGGAACAGGAGCAGGGGCTAAGGTCTGGGCATGGCATCAGGGGCTGGGACATGTCTGTCTGGCTCTAGTGGCTCTGAAGTCTCCAGCCTAGGTCCCTTCCAACTCTAAGTTTTCTCAGAGCATGAACTCCTTGGTCTGATCTTTTGGCCAAGTTGTGAATTTCCGGGGGCCCCAGGGAACAGTGTTGCAGGTGGCAGAAGCAGGTAGCGTGTGGCAGGAACAGGTAGCATGTGGCAGGAGTGCACTGGATTCGGCAGAACTCACATTGCCAGTGTGGCCGAGTGTAATGTTGGGCAGATGACCTTACTCGGATTATCAGTCTCCTCATCTGTAATTCTCAAATTCATAAGCAGGAACATATATAAGAACAGTCTCTCATGAATGCAGTTTGGCAATATAAATCAAAAACCTTAAACATGTGCTCAGTAGACTTCTAGTTTAAATAAGATACCCACACCCTAGCTCCCACTTCTCCCTGTTAAGCATGACTATAAAGCAAAAGGTACCTGGGGCCAATAGATGGTGTAAGCGGTTATGGACTCCCACATGATCGACCGTGGTTTGAGTCCCAGACCCAGTGACTTGAAAAATCACGCTGGACACATATGCATGTGTACCCAAGATCCCTGGAGGTGAATGGAGGAGAAGGGATTGTGGCATGGCCATCCCCCCCCCACCCCGAGGAATAATCTTTCACTTATCCTCTCACTGTCTCGGTCTCTCTCCAGTGAGTGCAAGCACCCTAGGACAAAAACTTCTCAAAAAAAAAAAGTAGCTAGAGGAGAACTCTGGAAGGTGGTAAGAGGAAGGCAAGGTGACAGAGGATAAAGCCAATGAATGCAAAGACAGAATAACAGACTCTGCCCAGACTGAACAGTAGAGAAAAAAAAATATGAAAGAAAAAATACTGTGGGGGCAATAATGAAAGATTCAATATTTATTTCATCAGAATCCTATGAAGGAAAAAAGAGAGGGACTAGTGATTAAAAAAAAATATGTCCCCCTTCACTCCCAAATGGCTGAAAACTTCCAAAATTAGATTAAAAACATAAACCTAGAGATTCAAGAAGGTGAGAGAACCCCAAATAAGGTAAAATCAAATCCATGTAGACTCTTAATGATAACTAAACTTCTGGAAAAAGTTAAGATGAAGGAAAAAGAAAAATCTTGAAAGCAGCCAGAGAGTATCACTTATAGAGGAAGAGCAATGACAGTGACAGTGGGTTTCTTAACGAAAATCAAGGGGCTAGAACGAAATAGAACATTTTTCAAGTGCTGGAAGAAAAACAACTGTTAACTGTAAATTCTATATCCAGCTAATTTATTCTTCAAGAATGTAGGCAAAATAAAGACATTGTCAAATAAGAGAAAACTAAAAGGATTTGTCACTAACAGACCTACCCTTAAAGATTGGCTAAAGAGGACCAACTATGTAGCCTAGTGGTGAAGGGAGCTGGATACCACATGGCTGACTGTGGTTCAGATTCTAGTCCCAGAGGCTTGAAAACATACAGGGCACATATGTGTATGAGCTCAGTATCTCAACATGATGGAGAAATGGAGAAGGGATTGCAGCATGACCATGCCTCATGAGGGGGTGATTCCTTTCCCCCTACCCTGGTCACTCTCTCTGGTGAGTGCATGCACCCTCTGATAATTAAAAAAAAAAAAAAAAATTGCCTACAAAGGGCTCTACAAACAAAGGTAACGATAAGAGGAGAAAAAAATCATCTTAGAGACTCAGGAAGGAAGAAGAAAAAATGAAAAAGCAGAAATATGGATGCATACAATAGAGTATCTTTTTCCTTATGAGTTTTATAGATCATATTTCATGATTGAAACCAAAATTGTAACACCGAGATAATCAAGACAAAGATATGGAGAAGAGGATGGTACAGGTCTCTACATGGAAGTAGGTCTCCGCCCTTCAGTTAGACTGGTAAACATTGATACCGGTAGACGACGGTAAGTCACCTGTGTATACTGTAATAATCAAAGCAACCATTAATAAAGTACCCAAAGAGATATTTTAGAAAACAGTATTCAAACAAACAAACAAACAAAAACCACAAGATGGCTGTCTAAACAATGTTCAAGTAACCCAGAAGAAGGCAGAAGAGAATTGAGTACTAGAGGAAACAAACAGTAAGCAGATTATAAAACGGTAGACTAAGCACCAGCACATTAATAATTACCTTTTAGAAGTCCTCCTCTGGGTCAAAATCCTTTGTGTGACTTTCAGGGTTAACCACAGGCAATTACTAAGGCTTTGCCTGGAAGGCCTCTTAGGAGAAAGGTGCCTTCCCCCACCACAGTGCACTGTTGCCTCTGGAGGGAGTTTCAGGCAAGGATTTCAGCCCCCCTCCCTCAGACCAGCCATGCTCAAACACGTGTCTGTCCGCAGTCTTAGCTCAGACACTTCCATGTGGGAGGGTCTTTTACAGGGGGACCTCTGTGGAGTCATTTTCAGAAGGCTCTGCAAAGACCTCCTTATTAAGGGGGCATTGACTGAGACAGCTTTTCTTTTTCACTCTGACTCAGCATTTTTCTGCTCCTAGACCTTTCTCCTCTCCCTTCCCCTGGCCCCTTAGGGCCATAAAATGTCAAGACAATTTTGTTCAAGGATCCTTGGCAGTGAGGTCCCGAGGACCACCTGACTCTCAGCTAGTGCTGTTCTAGTGGGGGGAAATGGAACATTAGGATATAATACTTTTTCTTTGCCTTTTGCCTGCCTTATGACAGTAAATGAAGAAAGTCTTGATTATTATTTTCAGTTTGGCTCATTGTCCTAATTAACTACCTTGACACTTGATAGCTTGACAATATTAACATGTAAATTGCCTAAATAAGACAATCAAAAGACAGAGACTATAAAGTAAATAATATAATATGACTCAATTATTTGCAGTTTAATGAGAAACTCATTTCAAATTCAATGACATAGGTAGATTAAAAAAGTAAAACGGTGTAATAAGATATACCAAACAAATATTAATTTTTAAAAAAGCAGGAATAGCTACATGAATATTTGATATAGCAGACTTCAGAACAAAGAAATATACTAAAGCCAAAGAAGGATATTCTATAATAATAAAAAGATTAATTCTCCAGGTAGACAGGATAATATTAAATGCACATGCGTCAAGAAGCAAAACCTCAAAATACATGAAGTAAAAGCTGATGAAACTGAAAAGAGGAATGGACAAATTCACAGTTCCAGTCTGGGACACTCCAATCTCAGCAATAAATAGAATCACTAGACAGAAAGTCAGTGATGATATATAGCATCCAATTAACACCACCAATCAATAGGATTGGATAGATATATATAGAACACACTCCAACCAACCATACAGAATACACATTCTATTTAAGTACCCAAAACATATTTACCAAGATAGATAA